TTCCAAAGATTAGAGCTAGATTTTATTTCTCAAAGATTGTTGCATAATACCTACCTAGAAAAATTTTTATTGAAGTTTAACATACATCTCAACAGGGCAGCTGGATGAATTTTTGCATATGTATATGTCTGCGTGGCCACTGCCCAGATCATGATATAGAACCTCTCCAGGATCACTGAAGACCCTTTCATGCCTCTATATGGTCAGCTCCTACCGTTACCCAAGGCTTCGGAGGTAACTGCTATTCCAACTTTTATAACCATTTGAACTTCATAAAATTGGAATAGTTCAGTACATGCTCTTTTATGTCTGGCTTCTTTCTCTCAATATCATTTCTCTGAGGTTTACCCATGTTGTTTCGTGTAGCAGTGATTTAGTTGTCCTCATTACTCTATAATATTTCATTGTATGAACACACCACAACTTTGTTATATGTGTTTTTGGTAGGCATAGGCATTCATTTCTCTTTGTGGAATGGCCGAGTCACTGGGTAAGCAAACAGCCATTTACCTTTACTAGATATGGACAGCCAGTTATCTCACATGATTGTATTAATTACAACTGCAGCAAGAAAGGAGGGCTCCAGTAGCTTCGTATTCCTAACAACTCTTGATTGTATAATCAGCCTTTAATTTTAGCCATTCCTAAGCATAGAGTGGTATCTTACTGTGGTTTTACTTCACATTTCTCTGAATACTGCCCATGTTATGCTTCTTTTCACATGCTTGATGCTGTTTGCATTTCCTAGTTTGTGAAGTGGAAGCTCACTTATAATATTTTGCCTATGTTTTATTGAGTAGTTTGTCTTTTTCTTATTGATTTATGGACGGTCTTTATGTATTTTAGATATAATAACATTGTGGGTTATATGCTCTTCTCCCAATGATCTCCCAAACTGACCCTTGCTTTTTCACTCTCATATTGATGCTAACAAAAGCCAGTTTATCAATCTCTTTTTATGGTTAACGTCGCTTATTGTCTTAAGAATTTTTTTTAACTTTTGTATTTTGAAATAACCATAGACGCACAGAAAGTTTCAAAAATAGAACAGAGAGGTATCATGTGCTCTTCGCTGATTTCCAACAAAGGTATCATCATACATTAACAAAACCAGGAAACTGACATCAGTTCAATCCACGGAGCTTGTTCAGATTTCACATCTTGTATGTATGTGCTCATTGCGTATGTGCACATGTGTGTATATTTCTGTGCAATTATATCATGTGTGTAGATTACATAACTACCACCACAATCAAAATACAGAATGTTCTACCACCACAAAGATCCCTATGCTAAGCCTTTACGGCCAAATCCACCCTCCACTCCTACCCTCTGGCAACCACTAATTTGTTGTTCTTCAGCTCTATAATTTTGTCATTTCAAGAATGTATATAATGGAATCAGATAGTAGCTTGTGACCTTCAGAGATTGGCTTTTATCACTCAGCACATGCCCTTGAGATCTATTCAAGTTGTTGCATATGCATCAATAGTTTGTTTCTTTTTATTATCAAATACTATTTTATTCTTGAATACTGGCACGGCAGCACCAGTTTGTTTAACCATTTGCCCACTTAAGAACATTTGCGTTGGTTCCAATTTTTAGCTTTTACAAATAAAGCTACTGCGTACATTAGTGCACAGCTTTTTTTGTGATCGTAAGTTTTCATTTCTCTTGAGTAAATGTTCATGAGTATGGTTGCTGTGTTATAGGGTAAATATATATTTAGCTTTTCAGAAACTGCCAAACTATTTCCAAAGTGACTATCGTTTTATACTCTCACTGGCAATGTAGGACAGACCCATTTCTCTACATACTGGCCAGCATTTGGGATCATTACTATTTTAAATTTTACTTGTTCTAATAGATACGGAGATAACAGATGTATGTAGATGAGGTAATATATTATCTCATCATTACTATAATTTGCATTTCCATAGTGATTAATGGTATTGAACATCTTTTCATGTGTTTGTCTTTTTTTTTTTCCAATAAAATGTCATGTGGTGGGCTGAATTTAGCCCATGGACCATAGTTTGTCAACATTTGTTCTAAATTATGTATTTGCTGCTTTGCTATTTCCATTTTCTCTTTATCCTAATTGTTGTGTTTTTTATTTTGAGTACATTATTTATGCTTACTTCTTTTTTGCAACTGCTTTTTCTGTATCATATTGCTAATTTGTTCTTTTATCTTAATGAAGATATTAATTATGCATTGTCTATTTCAATAACTCTACTTCATATGTTATATGTCATTTAGGTTTTGTCTTTGGAACTGTGACATAGTATAATGTTTAAAAGCTTTGGTGCTGAGCCTGTTTGCCTAAGTTAAAATCCTGGCATCTCCACCTACTAGTAAATTAATTCTCTAAGACTCTTATAAATTATGGGAAGGGATGAAGTCCCCCAGAATGACTGCTATTGGGATCATCACCAGTATAGTGAGTGGGAGCTTGGAACCATTTTAAATATAGTTTATAAAAATAAAATAATGTAATGTACTTGCACTGTGTGAAGCCAATTTAAGACCACACCATTTATATCCAGTAGACAAATTATAGTGTGCTATGTTGGAAAAGTTTAAGTGAACATAATCTTAAATGTGAATCCAATGGTGTTGTAAATTAATAAAAAGATGTAATCTTTTGGGGAAGAATATAACAAGAGCCTTATAAAATATTCATACCCTTTGACCCAATAATTTCACATTAAAAGCCCTTCTAAGCAAATAATGAACATATAAATATGAAGACAAAAGACACAAGCTAGGGCTGATAGAGCAGGAACACAGAAGGAGCTTGGCTTCATGATGGAAAAATTGAGCTGCTATGTCCACTCTGGGCCCCATCTCCTCTAACTTATTGTTGGATAGCTCAAGCCATTTCTGAGATAAGCTCAAATTTCCAATTACTAAAAATAATTAGTAATATGGTAGTCTATTTTTTAGACTAAGATGTTTACAAAATGTATATAATAGCATACCAAATGACTTTGTGGAGAAAAAGTAAGAGACAGAATTTTATATACCATATGGTTAAAACTAAGGGAAAAGACAGAACTGGAGGGGTATTTCCTACCAGTTTTGTGTTTTAAGTGGTTTCTTTTTTTCTTGTCCTGTATTTCAAGTTTCAAGTTTACTTTTTTTTTTACATTTTACAACTATAAATATAGAAAATAATAAACAGTTCTTAAAAAATACATTTTCTAGTGAAATATTGAGTCAGTAGAGAAGTACCAGAAATCTACTCTATACTGCAAGTGTATGTTAGTAGTGAAACAATGGTGCTGCAAACAAGAAAATCAAAAATAAACAAGTGGGACTATATCAAACTAAAATGCTTCTGCACAGCAAAAGAAACCACCAACAATGTGAAAAGACAACCTATAGAATGGAAAATAATATTTGCAAACCATATATCTGATAAGGGGTTAATAGCCTAAATCTATAAAGAACTCATATAACTCAGTAACAAAAAACCAAATAACCCAATTAAAAAGTGGGCTAAGACTTGAACAGACATCTTTCAAAAGAAGATATATGAAAGGACAACAGGTACATGAAAAGATGCTCAACATCACTAGTCAGTAGAGAAATGCAAATTAAAACCATAATGAGATATCACTTTGTACCTATTAGACTAGCCATCATCAAAAGACAAGCGATAACAACTGCTGCCATGGATGTAGTGAAAGGAACCCCAGTGCACTGCTGGTGGAATTATATACTGGTGTAGTCACTATGGAAAACAGTATGGAGGTTCCTCAAACAATTAAAAATAGAACTGTCATATGATCCAGCAATTCCACTTCTGGAAATATATCCAAAGGAAGGAAAACACTAACTTAAAAAGATACCTGCACCCCCATGTTCATAGCAGCATTCTTTACAATATAGCCAAGACATGAGAACAACCTAACTGTCCATCCATGGATGAATAGATAAAGAAGTTGTAGTACGTGTATATATACAATGGAATATTATTTAGCCATATAAAATGACAAAATCCTACCATTTGCGACAGCATGGATGAACCTTGAAGGCATTATGCTAAGTCAAACAAGTCAGACAGAGAAAGACAAATGCTGTATGATCTCAACTATAAGTGGCGCCTACAAAAACCAAAACCAAAACCAAAAAACCAAACTCATAGAATAAGAGATCAGACTTGTGGTTACCAGAGGCGGAGGGTGAAGGACGGGGGAACTGGTGGTCAAAAAGTACAAATTTCCAGTTATAAGATAAATAACTACTGAGGAGATCCAAGATGGCAGGGTAGATAAACACTGTGCCTGCTTCCTTTCATGAACACATTCAAATTACAACTAAATTATAGAACAATCAACCTGGAGAACCATCTGAAGTCTGGCTCAACAGAAGTTTTATAACTAAGGATATAAAGAAGAAGCCACGTCGAAACTGGTATAAGGGGTGAAGATGTGAAATGGGCCCCAAACCTCTGTGTGGAGGTTAAGAACTGGAAGGAATATCTTGGCCAAGGAGGTTCCCCCCAGAGGAGTGAGAGACCCCAGCCCTACATCTGCCTCCCCAGCCCAGAGTAGTGGTGACAGAAAGAGGAGCCCCCACAATATCTGGCTTCGAAAAACAGTGGGGATTCCGGCCATCCGGGTGAGACGGAAGGCTGCAGGAAACCCAGGCGTCCTCTTAAAGGGCCCTTGCACAGCCTCTCTCACTCGCAGGCACTCACTTTGGGCTCCAGTGGAGCGACAGTAACTCAGGGGGTGTCAAAGGGAGGGCTGGAGGACAGTTTCATTTTCCCTGTGTGGAGTCCTGCTCCCTTGCAGCTGGCAGGCAGGAACCATCTTTCCTGGGCTGAGCCCGCCCCCACCATGCCAAATCTGAATCTGATTGGCCTGGTGAGCTTCTGCTAACTCAGTGGGACCCTGCCCCACCCAACTTCCCCAACACTGGAGGCACTTTCACCACCAGCAGCCAGCTTTTGCCCTTACCCTCTCTGCAGAGCAGGAGAAATAACTTACCTGCTGAATGAGATGATAAGAAGTGGCTTTCTGTCTGGCTGACAAGCACGGAGGCAGGCTATTTTCTTCCCTCTAGCCCTTCTTCTACATGGTAAGTACATCTGGGTTGGGCCTCTTATTCATCTGACTTGGTAGAGTTGAGGTACACACAGATCCTTCATCCATGTGACTGGAGGAGTCACCTCTGCAGGTGGAACTCTCCCCCTATGTGGTGACAAGGTCGAGATTTGAGCTGAGGTGGAAAGAGATCATTGAAAGGTGAGTTTGACCTCAGGTGTGAGTCATATTTTACAAACCAGCTAATAATAAAGTGGATACTGTGATTCAATTCCAAACCTCTAAATTGGTTCAGGATCCATAGAGGAAGAAGGTGTAATTAAATAGATGATGGGATCCTATCAGGTGGTACTGTTATTGCAATAGAATTCTGCATGGAAGGGAATGATAGGTGTGTTGTCATATTTCTAATGGGAGGAAGACTATAAATAACATGAAAGTAAGAACTTCCAGCTATAAAATAAATAAATCCTGGGAAGATAATGCACATCAGGTGGCTACAGTTAATAATACTGTACTATATATTTGCTAAAAGAGTATATTTTAAAAGTTCTCATCACAAGAAAATTTTTTTGTAACTATGTAAGGTGATGGATGTTAACTAGACTTACTGTGGTGATCATGTCACAATATACATAAATAGCAAATCATTATGTTGCACATCTGAAACTAATATAATGTTATATGCCAATTACATCTCAATTTTTTAAAAAAATGAAAAAATAGTTAAGAAAAATAAAGAAAAACACAAGGTGACATTTTTGTCACATTACTAAGTTAAACAGCGTTTTCCTCCCTCATTTGGCATTTTGATATGACAATTATAAAAAGTATTATACCTTTAAATCGATAGGTTCAAGGAAGAGATGAATCACCCTTTAAAGCTAAGAATGTCAGTGCCACTTGATGTTATGCTATAAAATTTTGATATGTGAAGGTATGTTTTTGATCATTCAGCTTCTAAATTGTCTAACAATGATTTGGAAGAAGGGATAAAGATTTAGGGGAAGCATTATTATATAATATTTAAATGATTAAGCCAATTATTACATGAGTTTTGAATTATTTAAGATTCTAGTTCTCTAAAATAGAAAAATCTGAGATCCAAAAATGAAAGGGAACTATTTAAAGCCACCAGAGATTTTTTTGACTTTATCGCGCATCTCTCCATTAACATTTGAAGTTGTTACGGCTGGGAAAGAGCTAGAGAATTTTCGCACAGGCAGAGACACGGAACATCGCTGTCATGTGCACCGTGTCCCCTCTGGGCTCAGATCAAAGGGTCTGACCTTGACACCCCCTCACTCCTCTTCAGGCCCTCAGAACTGTGGTCTGGAGAAAAATCAGAATGCACTGGGTACCACTTATGAGATTTTGCATGGGCTGTTTATTACCTAATCCTCAAGAAGTAGTAACAGTAGTAGTTACAGCAACAGCTACTTTTTCTGTAGTGCTTACCATGTGCCAGGCAGAGTGTAAGTGCTTTACATGCACTATTTCATTTAAATCTCACATCACATCAATGGAAAAACTGGAAAAAAATCTTCATTCCTCACAGGTTCTTCATTCCACATGATGCCATTTATAAAGTCTTATGTTCACTTAGAGTTTTCAAAAGGGCAAATGAACATGAGAGAGAGAGAAATAATACACAAAGAAATGACCTATCATAACAAATTAGAACTGTCAAGATGGGGGGCTCCGAGTACAGAAAAAACAGGTATGATGGCCCCATGGAATGACATACCCACCATGTCACCGTTTTTTCATGCCATGGTACACACAGTTGAGGGACAAAGTCTCAAGTACGCTACTCAGATGGGGCAGCTTTTTGAACAGTTTCCACCATATACTTGCTGGAGTGTTCTTGTCTTCTCTGTCATCTGCCACTGAGCCCAGAATGGCCACCAGAGACCTCCTCTCCCATCAGACTCATTGATTCTCCATCTCTTTCTCTGCCCTCCTTCTAGCTCCCTCAATTCCCTGTAACCACCTTTATTTTTAAACCAGCTCATGTAATACCCATGTTTGTTTGTTTACTTCATGTAAAGGGAGTTGGGGTCTCCAGGTGCAGTGGGGAGGGATTCTGAATTCTTGGGTTGGACAGGAGGTGCCATCAAAATAGTTTAGAATGTAATCGTTTATGCTTCATTATACATTCAGCCTTCTAGTAAAATCGCTGTACTAGAGAAAAGGGCCTTGTTTACATCATTCCACAAAAACCACTGAGACTATTTTCAAATGGATCAACTGCTATTGTTTCTGAGTATAAAGATTTTTGTTTGAACTGAGCAAGCAAATGATTCTTCATCAGTGACTAGGCAACCATTTTAAAGACAGTGGGATATTGTAAATATTTAATGCAGAAGGCAGCAATGTAATGAGGGCCAGTTGAAACCCATCTTTTTTTTTTTTAAGATTTTTATTGGGGAATTGGGGGGATAAGAACAGCACTGGGGAATTGGGGGGAAGGGAATAGACAAGTTGCTGTCCTTTTGTTCTTCAGTCTAGTTGTGGAGGACGTTGCTTCACTGGCCCAAGTTGGCACCATCATTGTGCTCTTC